GAGAACACTTTTGATCTCCGCAGCTCTTTCCTCTAATATGTTATGGATTTACACCTGTACCAAAAGCTAATTGTATTTGTTCTGATATGCCAATGGAATGGGCTGTGATGGGGAGAGACCCAAACATGTGTGTGGACTCTTTCTGGTTGCCCGCCTATCTCTAAACTGATATCCAGGTGCTTAATAAACCACTTGGCACCTGGTTCTTCTTTTCTAAGATGGGACTTATTGAGAAACAGAAAAAAAATCCACCAGACATGAAGGGGAAGGATGTTGATCTTTCTGGGACATTACTCAGAATTTTTTCTTCTCCAGTTCATGACTTTTCCTATTCCTTTTATTATTTACTGTTTACTGGTGCAAGCAAGGATGCTCAATATGCCTCTGCCATACTTATTATTTTTCCTTACAACTCTCATAAATTATTGACTGTCAAAAATGCAAATCTTGATCAAAACCAACAGAAATTCCTCCTATTTCCCTCAGCGGGATTTAGATGAGCACTCTGTTGAGCAACACGTGTACCCTTCGTCTCTGATCTAGACCATGTGCCTTCAGAGAAAAAAAAATACTCACAGAACAAGGTTTTTGGATATAAAATTATCCAGAATTATATAACTGAGTTATATGATGACAACCAGCGTAGAAGTCTGTAACAAAAATTTAGGCGAATCCTTGCAATGCTTAGCACTCCACCTGCAGATCCCAGATTTCTCCAGGGCAATCCAGAGGTCCCAGTTATGAGGGGGAAACTACAAAAGCCATCTGAAGTAGACAGTGCTGCTTCATGGATGCAGGGATGAAATGCACAAGCGGAAATGCATTGCTTCCCTGCCTGAAATCCCTCATTTACTCACCCAGAGTCAAGCTGCTGACTCTGATAGCAAAATCTCCATCAGCGAAATCCACTTTGGGATCCTTCTCGTGCTGCCATGACCGAAGGAGGCAACAAAGCTGAACACAAAATAATCTGATTCTGATGGAGATTTTCCAGCACATGACAGTCCAAGGGCACAGGAAGGCTATTGATCTGTTTCATTTCTGTGCATTTTCCATCTCAGATACAAGTATTCAGGTATTTTTGTGTGCCCATGGGGGCCGATGATTGCCAGTGCCTCCCCACCCACCCCCCAGCCTGGGTGGTTCTCCTGGCTCCAGCAGGAGCTGACCTTAGTGGGGAGCTGGCTGTCATAAAATGGCAGCTCATCCATCACAGGTTTCTCAGCCTGTCAGCATTGCATTTAATTGCACTTGTAATTTTCCAGGGGAGGTTTGCAAAAGCCACAAACAGAATCCTAATGTATATAATGAGGTTTGCAGCCGGTGCTTCCCCTCAGGAGGAAGCTGGGCTGTGTTCTAGCTGCCCTCAGCTATGCAGAGATGGGAAATTTCCAATTCAGCCTACAGTCCTGTGTGCTGTTCACATGCTGTTGGAGTGGGTATATCTTGTCTAGACAAGATTCAGTTATATGTTGTCACTGGCATATCTTCCTTCTCAACTCACATGCACTGTCAGAAAAGGGCACTCAGAATCCTACACTTTAGAAAAGAAGAATTTTTCAGCCTCTAACACATCGTATCCATGAGGTTTCATTCCCTTTTTATGGATTTGGGAAGTCTTGCTCATTGACTTGAAGCTGCAAGCTTCAAGCCCTTCTGTAAATGCTGATCAAAACCCCACCCAGACAATCACAGTTTTTTTCAGGAGGCTTCTGTCAGCTCTGAAATTTTAATTTTTCATTATGTTCACTACACCTATCTTCCACCTTCATTCCCTTCTTGAGGTTTAGCAGCACAGAAATGAGCTAAGTTGGAACCAATATGACCAGAATTATACTCTTGCAAACAATGACAGATTCAATCAAGTGGGGTTACTCGAAGGATGAGATATAAAGCTCTGCTTCCCAGATATATATTCAATGCAATGACCTCTCTCCCTGACCTGTCTGTCCGTGCCATGCTGACAGATCATATCTTCCACTGATACAGACCCATGGAAGCTGCAATTTGTCAACAAGTCCCTGGGCTCTGCAGATCTGGAATGGATTTCTACAATATAGTTTCTCTTGTGGCAATAAGATGGGAACAGGCTAAATCCCTGGAATTATGTGGGCCTCAGTCACCTCATCAAGCTTTATCCCTTGTTTCTCATTCCATAGGTGTCTAGCCTCTTGACCGAATGATGAACCAAGAGAAAAATGTGTGGTTTTTTCTCTAGACGGCTCTTTATATTTACAGATTCTTCAGCAAACATATTAGTTAAATTGCTATAGTTATATTCATTGGTGCTGAAAGCAGTAATGATAATTATTACAATGTTATATTTTAAAAAATTATGTTTTCAGCCTTGCAGCTGAAAAACATCAGCTAATCATCCTGAAATTGTTTTTGCCAGGTGTCCTCCTCCTGCTGAATTAGCTCTTAAAATTTCGCCAAAGCAGTTAATCAGTTCCTGAGGGCAAGACTTAAGAAAAATGCCATGCTTTGAAATGAACTATCACCATTAATAACTTTAACGTTCCCTCTGTAATTTGGCAGGCAACTGGAGTCCAAAACCAAACTTTTCTTGCTTTTTAAAGAAAGTTAGCTAAGTTTGGCCAAGTTGCTAACCTCCAGCCACAAAGATATGGGGAGAAAGTTTTTCTGCATGTTTTAATTCTCCTGAGTATTATCCATTTCTCGCAGCTCTTAGCAGTCTTGTTTCATTGCAGAGCATAGAATGTCTTCCCTGCAGTTATTCTTCCTTGTAGGATGGAGAAAACATATTTTTAGTCCTAGAAAAGAAAAAAAAGAAAGAAAGAAAAAGTCAAACAAAGGAGGAGCAAAGTGGGGTAAAGACTAGAAATTCACATAGAAAAATAATGGGCAATTTTTATATTGGAGTATTATTGTGCTGACACCCTAATTGTATTTACAAGCTTGCCATTATTTAACATAAGGATATGTTGTTTCATGTGGATTTTTACTTCCTTTTAGGTAATGAATGTATGAAGTCTTCATTGAAATGCATCTCTGTGCAATCATTTGCTTAGAACCGCAGCATCTTTAACAAAATAAAAAAAATTCCTCCTTCATCTCAAATAAGGCATAGCAAGGAAAAAAACCTTCATTATAAGGTCCAAAATAAACCAAAATAGTCTTCTATCCAGACAATCAATTTCTCAATGGTGCCCAATAGACATATTGAATCATGCATTTTGCTTACACAGCTGCCCAGAGAAAAACAAGGAACATATTGCTACCCATCTCTTTTTGCAAAAGGTTGGAAATTATAGCACTTGGAAAGTGGTAACCATCTTTTATTTTGTCAGGTAGTATTATTCAGGTTGGCCTACAACCTCCTTGCTTACCCTCACAAAAATCTTAATTAAATTAAGATTGTACCTGGAGCATAGATCCTTGCAAATGCTACAAAGTTTGTGGCTTGATGCAAAGGAGGTGGTGAGAAATTCTGAGGTCTGTGTTATGCAGGTGCATGCTTGGTGCAGATTTACCTCCAGGCTGGAATGAACGAATTTTCTGTTTCATCCCAAATCCTGTTTCTTACCATCTCCAGCCTTACAGAGGAATAAATGCAATAAATAAGTGGAATAAATACAATGAGGTGGAGTCATAGTTTAACCATAAAGGGCATTTTCTTCATGGAAGGTATGAGAGACTGTGCTTGTATCTTGAGCCACAAGGCTTTATTTCCCTAATAAGGATAAATGGCATTTTGGGTGCATGAAGCTAGAAATAAGAAAAAAAACCAAAACAACAAACCCAACTAAAAGAAAACACCCAGATAAGTCTTGTGGTAGACAGTAGCAATTGAGACTTCCCATAGCCTATTATGTAGCCTTTCACAAGGCCATCTCAAAATATTTCTTTGACTTTTCATAAGGATGTTTGGAAAGTTACTTGAATAAACCATGAAATGCAAATGTAAATAAAAACAAAGCCTGGGATTTCTGACCTAGAATTTGAATATACACCATACATGCAATTCATATAATTCATTTATTCAGATTTATGTCTAAATACTGAAAAGAAAGGACAGTCTGTTGGGTGGGAAGCTGGGTTAACATTTAGAAGGTCACAGGATTTGTTCTTTGTTTTTCTGTGGACCTCCTGCATGTTATTGGATGAATTGTCAAAGTATAAAAAGTACCCTAATTGTCAGGCAGTGGCAGCCCTTACAATAAGAATCTAAGCTCTATTTGATGCACACATTAATCAGCATGCTGAGTACCCTTCCCTTTAGCAGGCTGGCAGGACAAATGCCAAGGGATAGCCAATATGGAAATTTCGGAAAAAATGATCCCTGCTCATTGAACTCAGTGAAAAGAGCTGTGTTGTTTTCCTCTAGGCTCATCAGTTCCACAAAATACAGAGACATTTCCCACACATTCTACAAGAGCAGTAAGTACACAAAGCCACTTAGGGAAGATGAGCTGAAAAACAAATAGATTTTGGATCTTCATACAGCTCAGGTATGAGCTCAGTGATAGGATTACAGGCCTGCAAAGACCAAACCACTCCAAGGCATGCTCAGAAATTAATGTGACTGAAAAATATTAGGGTATGAAAGCTGGTGAGCTTAAAGAGTCAAGTTGCTTCCAGGATTAGGTTAATGCTCAACAAGGATTTTCTAGGGCCTTAATTCTGTGTAAGCCTTTCTAGTCATCCATTCCAGCCTATAGAATAAAAGTACCAGTACTGTCAAACCAAGGATTACTGTAATAAAGAGAGGAAATACATGGAAAAAAATTGATGCATCAGAATTAAGGAAATAATATACCTGAGCAAATGAATACTGCCAGTCTGCTCTGTTCAAACACCTCATGAATTCAGCCTGATCCTTTCACCCTTGAATCTTATCTGTTGGATGCTGTCAGATTATTTTTCTGGTCAGTGATTTGCAGGATCTAAGAAGTCAGGCTATATATATTGTAATGTTCTCATGTTGATTAATATTTTGTGCATTAGGCAATATTTGTGGAATTTTCTTTTCTTTGCAGGTCTCAACTGAAGAAGGAATGAGCTTAGCCAGAGAATATTCCTGCTCCTTTTTTGAGACTTCAGCTGCACTCCGCTTCTACATTGATGATGTCTTTCATGGACTAGTGAGGGAGATTCGAAGGAAAGAATCCTCACTGTCCATGATAGAGAAGAAGATGAAGAGGAAGGATAGTCTGTGGAGGAAACTGAAAGGATCCCTGAAGAAAAAAAAGGAAAGTACAACCTGATGGCAATTCTCTATGAGCCGCTCATCAGGAGCTGACCACAGTAAACTGTAATAATTCAAAAAGGCAGCATTGACACAGCATCTTCCAGGCCAGGGCCTGGAGCTCCTTCCCTTCAGCTCTCATGCAGAAGTTGTTCCTTGAGGGCCTAATTAATGGTTTCCCTGTGACTCTTCTGTTCTGTAGTGTCATTTAGCATACCCTCTCATACCTTTTCTGCAACTCTGAGTGGAGAAAATACTCTGTTTTTTAACGTGTGCTCCATGGCTGGTCTTCAAATGCTATGAGTTACGCCAGCATCCAAGGCTGAATCAGCTTCCACCAGCTCTAGGACTATGGATACACTTATTGCCTCCTCCTCCTCTGCATGCACAGGTCATTTCACCATCCCAGGAATGAATGAAATTGATTTCAATGGACATTTTGACTGTTTAAGGACTTTTGGGATGGGACCTTCAGCTTTGCGTTCATAGGTTTAGGGTTAGCGTGTCTCGGCCTGCACGCCCGTGTCTGTGTGTGACCGTGTCTGTGAGCCAGGCCCAAAGGGACCCTGGGCACTGCAATCCTCACCCCGTGCTGCCCCATCCCCACTGTTCCCTGCCCAGACAGCAGGCAGGTTTACAAGCAGGGTACAAGTCATGCACCAGCTCTGCAGAGGCTGCAGGGGCTCTGCTCTGTCTCCTCTTGCCAGGGCTGGCTGGCAGAGGTGCCATATTCCGCAGACATGCTGTGCATTAAAGTCATACAAGAGTTTGTGTTGGAAAGGAACTTTTAAAGGCCACCTGGGCCAAACACCTGCAATGGATGGGGAGACCTTCAACTAGATCAGGTTTCTCAGAGTCCTGCTCAGCCTGACCTTGGATGTTTCCAGGGATGGGGCATCCACCACCAATCTGGGCATCCTTATGCTTCACCACCAGCCACACTCCCCTGTCCCATCAAGGAGCTCACAAGTGCTCTGTCTGTCCAACGAGTCCCAGAGCCCTCCCTGGAGCAGTGCAGCTCTGTCCCAGCATGTAATAGCATCTGTGATGTAGCATCCAACCCTTGACTTACTAGAGAATTGCATCAGCTCAAATCACCATTGCTCACAGTCCTTGACCATCCAACTGAACCACTTGATTAAGCAGTTGGATAAGTCTTTTTAAATATTCCTTTTAAAAGCTGGCATGAAGTAGAGTATATGCTCCTAAACATTTTTTCCCCCTGGACTTCCTTTAATGTTGTTGCTATTTATAAATTTTATAGATGGAATATGCATAAGTTTTGTCAAAAATAAAGATTGTGATTTCCATGGAGCCATACTAGTAGTCAGTGTCATTTGTGTCTGTCCTGGAGTGATAATTGATATAACAAACAATATGTATCTTTATTAAATGCTACTTTTTCACTTTTCTTCTGTGATTATTTTGCAGAGTTTCAACCAATTATATTTTGCATGCTCTGTGTGGGAGTAGTTTTTTTTTCCCTCTGTAAAATTTGGAAGGGTTATGGTATTATGAATGACTTTAGTTCATTAAAATCTAACGCTTTGTTTTCCTCTCTCCCTTCCTTTCAAGGGAAACCGGAGATATTTTGTGACTTGTCAAAAATCCTTCATCAAAAGCAATGGTTTGTTGCACATTTTTAGATATATGTGGCTATATTTCTATGTGAGAAATTTATTTTGGAGGAATGCAAATACATGTACCCATTCTAGGTGAATTTTCTGTGTCCTGTCTCTGAAAGCTGAAGTCTGCATTTACATCATTGTAATTACTATTATTATTTTATCTGTATTGCCACAGAGATTTTAGGTCAAGTGTCCTAGAGACAAAAAGATGCACTTGTCCAAAGATTTTATGAGCAAAGTATTAGTGGAGGGACAACAAGAGGCTGTACTGGGCAGATGGCAGCTCTGAGACAATAAATAACAAGGGGAAACATCTGTGTCTGTTCCAATCCTGCACATGGCATAGAGGGGAACAAAGCAGTCATTCCCTGTGCAAGAGAGCATAGAAATTACCACCCTGAGAAACCTTGAGGGATGGTCCTTGTCTTTTTCAGGCAGATGCCTGAGTTTTGAGTCAATTGAAAATCATTTAGTGTTGGTTATGTCATTTCACACACTCCCACTAAGGGACATATAATATCAACATGAACTTGGATCTGTATTTTTAGGGGTACCTTGGTTCAAGTCAATTTGCAAGACAAAGAAATGTTGCAGAAAACAACATAGATGCAGTCTACAATTAAGTCTTAAATGGATTAATTTGATTAAATATAAGCATTCACTGGCATTAAGGTCATCTGGCACAGAGCAACATCTTTCCATATTGTTAAAAATTTTAGCCTTCACAGCAGGGTTACCACACACAACCTGCTCTTGGAAGTGATTCCTGGACTGTGCCAGGTTCTGCACCATGCTGATCAAGGGGTCAAAAAAGTGCTGTTCTTCTGTGGTATGAAACCAAGATAGGCATCATTCTAACATTTTGGCAGTAAGGATGTACTCAGGTGTCTCCTGGGATATGTTCAAATTAGTGGCACAGACACAGGTTGCATCATCATATTTTCAGGTCTAGCAAGCCCATGAGAAGACCAGGTTCTGAGTGTCTTCACAACCAGCCCTGAAATGCTCATTTTTAAAGGTATTTGATACCAGGTTAATCTCTCAGGAAGAATGAGGCCTCATATCCTCTGAGGATATTCTGTTACATCTTCTATGAGTAATATCAGAATATCAGGCATTGAATACATCTTAGGCAGAAAATTCTGTACTTATCTCACTCCACTTTGATCATGTAGAACTTGAGGACGACATCCAATAATTCAGATCCTCTCTTTGGCTAATACAGAGAGAGGTGTTGATGACTTTTCCCATATGGCATGGATGGTTAGCATTTGGTGAATCCCTCCTGAACTGGCTGTCTCTTTCCAGTGACTCCATTTCCCTTCACAAAAAGCAGTCCCGTCTCCCAGCTAACATTTTGATGTCTAAATTCATGAGGGATAAACCCCCTCCGTAAAGATTTTTCCACTCTGTATCAACAGCAGAGAATAGTTCTGCAAATGCTAGGCATTGAGCCTTGTCTCTGAACACCTCACCATCCATTACATCCAAATTGGGAAAGTAATTCTGATTTACCATGACCCAATTCCTCAATAATCTATAATGCTTAACCTCAGTTAATTGAGCAGAGCTGATGTAGGTTAGAGTCAGTGAGGATAACATAAGTCATAACTGCACAAGAGGTTGGGTGCAGTTCCTTTAGCTAATTAATCACTTTGATTCCATCACAGAAGATTGTATTTAGCTGTCAGATCTAGCTGGGAGAATTAAAAAAAACAGCAGCTCCGTGTCTGAAGACTTTTCTGTGTCTGACTATTCTCTCATATAATCGTGTCTGGAGGATTTGAAGAAGGAAAGAGATCACTTTATTTTGCTGTGTTGTCTACAGCCCCATGAAGGTAGCAGCTATAACTTATTCCACCGCCAGGCCATGTTGCAATTGAACCATAATTCAGACTCCTACAGGAATATAATTAAAGCCAGCTAATAAATAAAATAAAGTAATAACAATTTGCAAAAGTATCCTTGGTGTCTCTCACAAATGCATAATATATGGCAGTTAATTACCCTTCTTCACAGCTGTGGCAGATCACATGTTGCCTCTATTTGAGAAGTGATCTGGGGAAGACTGTAAGTCAAGGTGGAATATTGAAGAACTTAGGTTTTCCTTTATGCATGGCTCTTGCACACCTTAGAACTTTTCTGCAGTACCCTCCTCTGTTCCCTCAGACTGGCAGTTCCTAACTTGTTAGCAATCTGATGTCTTTACAAATGATTGAAAATATGTTCTTTACACATCCAAAAATGTTGGTTTCAAGACTGAGATGTAAGAATGCATAGCTAGAATGAAAAGAACTAAGTATCTTTATTTTTTCCACTAAATATATAATATATATAAAAATATATAGGCAATATACATGCAATTTTATAGGCAGTATACATACATACATACACTAAAATATATATAGTTTCTGAATGTCTCTTATTTGTGGGCTTAGATATTGAGCCCTCTCTTGATCATGATAAATGGTAAAAGAAAACCAAAAAAAAACCCAAAAAAAAACACGTAGAAAGCAAAGCTTAGTCTCATAGTGAAGATTTAGACTTCACAATTTTGTCAAATTCTTCTCCCACGTTGAACGTTTCTCTTGGTGGACTAGGTGTGAAATTCATGATAAGTAAAATAGCTGTGAGTGGGTCTTCTTATAGAAAGAGTAACCAAAGGCACCTGCTGCAGCCACCTCAGATAGAGACATTCAAATAATGGTGAGTATTAAACTTAAAACTGTCCATGTATTTCATATAAATCACAAAAAAGTTTGTTGTTAGCTGCTAGAGCTAACTATATTCACTAGTGTTGGCCTGAATTTGTACTAGAAATCAAAATCTGGGTGTCTAACCAGGACAATTATGCTAATATAATTCAATTAAGTACACTTACAGCAGCTAGCCATATTTAGACATTCCCTTTGGGGACTCTTATTTATGCAAGTGTGCATCAAACACTGCTCTGCATCAAACATTGCTTATGGATCTGAAAAAAATCCCTGAAAATTACCAGAGGAATGGTAAAATCTTTAATGAAATATGAAAATTACTGTTCTCATAACTTTTAATAGCAGTTGAATGGAATAGTGACTTAGACCAGATCAAGCTCCCTCTTAGTGCTATTTCTAGCTTGATCTGTCCCTGCAAGAATGTGGAGTTAGGATGTCTGCCTGGCACAATGATTTGTAATGGGGATGGCATTGTCTCACAGACACTGTGAAAGTCACCCCAAGAGGCATTGCCCTGCACCTCTAGCCTGATTTATCACTCCCTGATGCTCTTGGTTCTAAACCTCCTCAATTTGAGCTCTCCAATTTCGTTACATCGTGCTGAATTATGGGGTTGTTTTGTGATGAGGACAAATGTCCACTCAAGAGCACCAAACTCATTTCATGATCTGAACTCTTTCCCCAAGAGGTAATAAAGACAAGAACATCCAAAGCCATTGCATCACCTGCTGTATATCTTCTGTCAATAGATAATTAATGTGACAATTAGATTTTCCCATTCTCGTACTTTGTCATGCATCATTTTTTTACAGCACTTTTGGACTTGCAACTATTTCAAAAACTGCATGGACAATCTAGAAAGCCATCATTTTTCATGGTGCTCCTGGAGCAGAAGTCCAGTAAAAACATAATTTTAGGAGGATAAAGTAAATCAGATCCTATAATTATATTATATTGCCTTTGTTGTATAAAAAAGTCTGATATCTTTTGACCTTATAGATTAGGTAAAATCAATAGAAGAGAAAAGGCGGTCTATCTCACATCTGTGAAATTCACCAGAGAAAAATCTTATATATTTATGCTCTTCCTGTATTCAAACAATAGTTTGAAATTATTTTTCCTGGAAAGAGGAAATCAAGATAGAACTAATAGATTAAATAACTAACAGATTAAATAATTTTAAGAAACTGATGCATGACAAAGTGCTGTAAACCATGGTGGTGGGTCCATTTAGCCCACTCCAAAAGTTTATTATGCAGCTCCTTCCATTTGTCTCTCTGCAATTCCAAAACACTGAGAGTAATCAATCTGTTTTCAGCTCTACCAAGATAAGCTCACTCTTTTTCATTTTACACGTGTATGAAAGTGACAGAACAAGAGGAAATGTATTTAAATTAAAGAGAGTAGGTTTCTAATAGATTTAGGTACAGGAAGAAATTCTTTTCTTTACCACAAGGGTGTTGAGGTTCTGGAATAGGTTTCCAAGCAAAGCTGTGGCTGCCCCATCCCCGGAAATGTCCAAGGCTAGGTTGGATGGGTCTTGGAGCAGCCTGGTCTAGTGGAAGGTGTTCCTGCCCATGGCAGGTGTTTGGAATGAGATGAGCTTTAAGGTCCCTTCCAACCCAAACCATTTTATAGTCCTATAATTGTATTTCTTTTGTTCTCTTGCATCAACCCCAGCTATTTAAAAGGCAGCCTCAAATGTTTTTGACAAACCAAACACACAGAGCCTTTTGCCTTCTTCATAAATTTCTCATTAATGCTCACATTGAAGAGAAAGAGCAATGTTTTCCCTGGTAAACTTTTGCAAAGTCACTCAGCTTTCTGAATAAAAACTGAATTTGCCTCCACTGCTAGACACTGCTGACTAATCACAGATGCCTCTTTATGTAGGACATTGACTGAATAAGCTTGAGCACATAAAGTATTCAGCCAGCATAAGTGGGTAGCGCCTCTGAAGGCATTGGAAAATCTGATGGTTGATTCACATCTGTCACCAGAACAAAATTGCACATTACACCATGATAATGAATATACTTCAATAACACAGAGGAAGATGAGTTTTCTGTTGCTGAAAACTTACAAAATCCATAACACAAAGCAAGCCAATTTAAGAAAGACAGAATAAACAGACTATTAGTAATGACAAGGATAGGCAGAAGGAGAAGAGGAGAATAAAGCATAAGTAAATATATGAAAATTGTAAAATCATGGAATGGTTTGGGTTGGAAGGGACTATTAAAGGTCATCTAGTTCATCCCTCTCTGCTGTAAAAAGGTATAACTTCAACCAGATTACTTTTCACAGAGTCCTGTCCAACCTGACCTTGAATTTTTCCATCTACCACCTCAGTGAGCAACAT